GCGTCATGACTTTTCCGACAACCCAATAGTTATTACCGTATTATTGACTATACTCTATGATGTACTTTACATCGCCGTGACTATTTTGTAACTACCGATTTGTACTTCTTAACCCCCTCACCTTTTTCACCCAACCCCCCCCCCCCAAACCCCATCCCACCTGGTACCCATCAGTTTGTTCTCTGCATCTGTGAGTCTGTTTCTGTTTTGTTTTTTTGCTTGTTTGTTTTGTTATTTAGATTCCACATATAAGTGACATCATATGGTATTTGTCTTTCTCTGTTTTTGACTTATTTCACTTAGCATAATACCTTTCTAGGTCCATCCATGTTGTTGCAAATGGTAAAAATTCATTTTCTTTTTAAGGCTGAGTTTTTGGGTTTTTTTTGTTTTGTTTTTAAGATTTTTTATTGGGGTATTGGGGGGAAGGGAACAGTGTTGGGGAATTGGGGGAAGGGGAACAGACAAGTTGCTGTCGTTTTGTTCTTGAGTCTAGTTGTGGAGGACGTTGCTTCACTGGCCCAAGTTGGCATCATCATTGCGTTCTTCCCGGGCGAGACACATCAGTCGCCGGCTTCTGGATGGCTGCTCACTGAGGGTGCTGGCCGCTCACGCTGGCTGCTGGCTACACATGGTAGCCCATGGCAACCCACTGCCACAGGGGCTGCAGCCTACACCGTCGCCGGAGTGTCACTGGCCCTCATATGTGGGATCCGAACCAGGGCCCTCTGGCGTCCCAAGCCAGTTCTTAACCATCGCGCCACTCGGCCGGCCCAAGGCTGAGTTTTTACCTTCAGTTTTGTAGGGTATAAAATTCAAGGATGGTAGTTATTTTCTTTCAGCACTTCAAAGATGTCATTCTATTGTCTTCTGGATTTTATCATTTCTGTTGAGAAATTGTCAATCTTATTGCTTTATTACTTCTAAGACTTTTCTCTTTATTTTTGGTTTTCAGCAGTTTGACTATGATGTATCTATGTGTATTTCTCTTTGTACTGTTGACTTGGGGTCTGCTGAACTTCTTGAAACTGGGTTGATCTCTCATTTGTTTGGCCATTTCTCAGCCATTTATCCCCCTACAGCAGCCTTCTCTCAGAAGTCATGTATTTTGAGATCCCTGGAGACTGCGGTTGTCCCCCCTCAACCCACCATGACCACATTAAAAGCATTGTGGTCTCACTGACAGCCCTTGGCCTGGGCCACACTGTCATCCTGTTCAGGATCAGCATGTGCACCGATAGGCAAAAAAAAAAAAAAGGCAACTACTGATTGTTGACTCCCTCTGAAATTCACCCCTCACTAGAGTATTAGTTCATCATGTTGCTTCCACAATATTTGATGCTTTAAGAAATGATTTTTTGTCATTTATCTGGCTTTTCCAGTCATCAGCAAGAGTATTGGCCTGCCATACTCTGCTACATCCGACGTGAAAGCAGAATCTGTATAGTTGTTTTTGAGTGCTTCTCAGGTGCCACATGCCCCTCTAGGTATAGGATTGCCCAGTCTAAAGTAGGTAAGACAGACATATACAAAATAATACAGCATGCTAAATACATGCTGCTAGCAGTGTGTACAGCAGTAGAACGGAGGAGGCGAATGTGAAATAGCATCACCTGTTTGGTACATTGTAAGTTTCATGATTTTACATGGTTGCAGTTTCAAGTTTAAGGGGGGAAGCAGTAGAGATGAGGTTGGTGAGATAGATAGAGGCCTATTGATGAAGGGCCCTGTATGTAAAAAGGTGTTTGTAATTTAGGCAGGCTACAAAGATCAGTTGAAGAATTCTAAGCATGGAGAAGAGTGATCAGATTTTTATTTAGAAAGATTACTTACAGGTCAGCAGGAAATGTGGATTCACAAAGGGCAGGCACACAAGGCAGGGAGCCAGGGAGGAAGCTGTTACGGTTGGCTCAACATTAAATAGATGATTATGACCACCAACAGATTTGAAAGATGTTGAAGGCGTAGAATTGATGACACTTAAGGGAATTGTGGAATTAAGAGGGAGGTGAAAGAAAGCAGATTCTAAGGGTTCTAGCTCAGGTGAGGACCATAAATCACAAGGAGACTACAGGAGAAAGAGTAGATAAGTTCAGTTTGGGATGTATTTTGTGTTCCCACTTCATTAGCTCTATTACAGTTTTTGTCATATAATCTAAGAACATAGTTCAGGGCACCCCAGGTTATTCTCTTGACACTCCTGAGATGAGTGAGTGAGATGCAGAGCTCCAAACCATTGCCTTCACCTCAGCTTGAACCAGACCCTCTGATTTGATCTGTTTTGTATGTCGGGCTTCTACTCAACCATTTTACTTGAAGAAAGTTTCCCACGCTAAAAGAAAAAAGCATTTCTCAGCAGCGTTTCCTTTTTCATTCATCTTCCCATTTGAGGTCTCTGTTTTGTTTGTTGTTGGAACCGAGTCTCTTTTCAGGTATCTTCCTCTGGTAGGGTATATGCATGACACCCTCTCCCAATCCTTGCATATTGTTCTTTCATGCTCACAGGAGAATAGCTTGGCTGTATGTGGGGTTTAGGGGCCACAGTCCTTCATTTGCAGTCAGTAGATGTCATTCCACTGTCAGTCTTACTGCTCCATTACTTACTATCCATTTGCAAAGAAGTCCAAAACCAGTCTTTCTTTTTCATAAGCTACTTGTTGTTTCTTCTGGAAAGCATATGTGATTTCTCTCTTGATCTTTTAGTGTACAGGAATTTCCCCACAATGTGACTAAGGTGTGTATCCTTCCATCTTTTCAATCTCCAGATGAATCTTTTTTTGCAGCCCAGGAAAATGTTTCAGTTATTTGTTTTAACTCCTCCATCTGTTCCTTTTTATCCTTCCAGAATTCCCAGCTATTTACATGTTGGTTCTCCCAGATCGGTCGTCCGCGTCTCACCATTTCCGTCTCTTTATATTTCTGCTCAGAGTTTTAAGATAAACTCGACTTGATCTTCCAGACCACTAATTGGATCTCAGCAGTTAGCCATCTCCCCGTCCCCTGTCCCCCCCCACACACACACACACCGCCGTCCTCCTTCATCAATTGAGCTTTTTTTGGTGTGGAAAATCATGTTTTAAAAATTCTAAGAATAGCTTGTTTTGTAATTGAACGTTCTTTCTGGCCTTATTATTTTTTAAATTTTCGTCTATCTCCCAGTGATTCTGTTAATCTAAGATTTACCACCTCATGGGTGCTCTGTTTGCTTTTCCTGCCTCTGACTGCGAGGTGCCATTAAGTGGTTATCTTCCTTTTCTTCTCTTGTTCCAACTACCAGTAATTCAGGCAGGGGATGGCACCGCAGCTCCTGGGTCATCAGTGTGTGAGCCTGTGCAGATGCAGGGTCAGTAGTCCCCTGCCAAGCTTTCTGGCATCCACCCCTGGCATCTTCCCAGCCAGGGACAGGGACAGTTGGAGTTCCTTCCCTCCCCTGGCTTCTTGGGGGTCACAGAGACCAGGAGGTACCACCCCAAGAAGTCTCATGGAGACCAGCATTGCCCTTTCTTGCTGGGGTCCATGGAGCTGTGTGGACCAGACCCCCTCCAGGGTGTTAGAGCCTGATTGTTGCCCTGGAGCCCTTTCCTGACACGGGGGGACAGTTCAGCACCAGCTCTCTTTCTGGGCTGAGCATGTCTTGCCCAAACTCACCAGGCAACACTTGCCTTCCAGCCCTAGTCACTGGGGCTCAATGGAGTTCATTGGATTGGGGACAGGGAGAGGCAGCAGAGACACTTTCTTGTCATCCTCTGTTCAGAACCCCCCAGCAAGTAGAGCTGGAATTGAGAGAGAGAGAGAGAGAGAGAGAGAGAGAGACCACCAGACTAGATAGCCTCTATCCAATGCCAACATTTTACAGTTGTACACATTTATGATCTCCAGCTTCAGCTCAGTCCTCTGTACCCTTGGGCCACACTTTTATGTCTTCCCAGCATGCTCTGCTTCCCCAAAGGGATTATTTGAGATTTTTATTTCTCTCTTCAAGCCCTCTGTTTACCCTCCTTCTTGTTCACTGCCAGCCCATGACTTTGAATTTCTCCTCACAGAGAAAAGAGACTCTTGCATTAAGTTGCTCAACTCTACCGCTTGCCCATAAACCTATCTCCTTTCACCACCTGCCTCCATGCCCGCCCGCCTGCCATCCATCTTTCCATCCCACTCGCATCTCCCCTCTCCCAAGATTTCTGTGATAATGTGTGCTCCTGGCGCTCGCATGCCTCTGGCTCCTCTTTTTCATTCTGTTTTGCTTTCAGTCTCACCCAGCTCTGGTTCTTCTCCCACATTGCTGGCTGCCAGGGGATCTGTCAGTGCATGAAGTTGATCATATCTCCCTCTGCTTAAAACCTCTCTATGACAAGAACAGGTGAAACTAAACCTGTAGTGACAGGAGTCAAAATAGTGGCTACTTCTGGGCAGGGGAAATAGGAATTGATTGCAGAAGGGCGTGAGGGAGCTTTCCAGGGTGCTGGAAATATTTTGTATCTTGCCTTGCGTAGTGGTTACACGGGTCTCTACATACATAAAAATTCACCGAGCTATACGTTAAGACTAATGCATTTTACTCTATATACGTTATGCCTCAAGTTAAAAAAGACAAAACCTTCAGTGGCTCTCCATTGCTACTGCAGGTTAAAATCCAAACTCTTTAGCCCACAAATTCTTATTTATTCCTCCCTCAAGTCTTGGCTCAGGCTTCTTCCTGTACAACCCATCCTGGTTTTCCCAGGATTGTGACACATGGTCTTCCATATTCACTTAGGACCGTCAGCGTAGGCCTATCCTCGTTCTTTACAGACTGTGTTGTAGCTGTACCTCTGCTTCCCTCACTAGCCTGGGGGCTCCCTAAGCATAGGGACCATCTCTTTTCAGTTCCATTGCCCCCCTAGTACCTTATGCACTGACTGGCCCAGAGGCCCCCACTACATGCCTGTCGAATGAATGCAAGTTCACTCTGTATTTGCTTTGAGCTTGACCTGCTTGACTGAAAAGTTCCCTTCCTCCAGCCTGCAGGATGTCTTCTCGGTGAGAGCAAGGCTTTTGCACAATGGCCGTTTTTGATACCCCTGAGGAGGCCTTCGGCGTCCTACGTCCCATCTGCGTTCAGCTGACAAAGGTCCAGACGGTGGAGAATGTGGAGCAGCTGCAGGTACAGCTACAAGCCGTGAGTGACTCCGCCCTTCAGGCACTTCAGCAGTATGTCCTCTTCCCTTTGCGATTCACCCTAAAGACGCCTGGTCCCAAGAGAGAGCGCCTGCTCCAGAGCGTGGTGGAGTGCCTCACGTTTGTCCTCTCCTCTACGTGCGTGAAGGAGCAGGAGCTTCTCCGGGAACTCTTTTCCGAGCTCTCCGCTTGTCTGTATTCGCCCAACTCCCAGAAGCCTGCCGCTGTGTCAGAGGAGCTGAAACTGGCTGTGATCCAGGGGCTCAGCACATTGATGCACTCGGCCTATGGGGACATCGTTGTGGCTTTTTATGAGCCCTCCATTCTGCCTCTGTTAGGATTTGCTGTGTCTTTACTGTTAGGCCTAGCCGAACAGGAGAAATCAAAGCAAATTAAAATTGCTGCCCTACGATGTTTACAGGTTCTGCTCCTGCAGTGTGATTGTGATGACCATCCACAGTCCCTGGAGGAGTTTGAGCAAAAGCAGCTGGGGGACTTGTTTGCTGCTTTTTTACCTGGAATCTCCACTGCACTGACCAGGGTGATCACAGGTGATTTTAAACAAGGGCACAGCATTGTCGTATGTTCCCTGAAGATCTTTCACAAGACAGTGGGCTTCATCATGGCTGATGAACAGCTCAGAAGAATCTCCACAGCCCAAGAAAAGCCCACAGTGGAGCACCGAGTAGCAAAGCTGATGGTTCACAGGGAAGCCGATTGGGTGAAAACTACTGGCACCAAGTTGACTCTCCTTCTGAAAAAGATAATTGAGGGCGTTTCAGTTCACCCACATTGGAAGGTGAGGCTGGAGCTGATAGAACTTGTTGAGGCCCTTCTTTTGCAATGCAGTCAGTCGCTGGTCGAATCGGCCGGCCCCCTTCTGAAGGCGTTGGTGGGTCTACTAAATGATGAGAGCCCTGAAGTCCAAGCCCAGTGCCATAAAGTGCTGAGACATTTTGCAGATGAGAAAGTAGTGGTGGGCAACAGGGCCTTTGCTGACATCTTGTCCGAACACCTGCATTCCCTGGCCATCTCCCTTCCCCGCCTCATGAGCTCCCAAGACGATCAGGGCAAATGCTCTACTCTCTCCTTGTTACTCGGTTATCTGAAACTCCTGGGCCCCAAAGTGAACTTTGTCCTCAACTCTGTGGCCCATCTCCAGCGCCTTTCCAAAGCGCTTATCCAAGTTCTAGAACTAGACGTGGCTGACATCAAAATTGTTGAAGAGCGGCGCTGGAACTCGGATCACCTGAGTGCTTCTCCGAAGCCCTCCGCCGCGCGGCCATGGAGTCAGATCCAGAGAAGATATTTTCGCTTCTTCACTGATGAGAGGGTTTTCCTGCTCCTGCGGCAGGTCTGTCAGCTTCTTGGTTTTTATGGGAACCTCTATTTGCTTGTGGATCATTTTATGGAACTCTACCACGAATCTGTGGTTTACCGAAAGCAAGCCGCCATGATCCTTAATGAACTGGTCGCAGGAGCTGCTGGGTTGGAGGTGGAGAATCTTCATGAAAAACATATTAAAACAAGCCCAGAAGAACTGAGAGAGATCGTGACATCTATACTCGAAGAATACACAAGCCAAGAAAACTGGTATCTGGTCACATGCATCGAAGCTGAAGAGGTGGGGGAAGAGCTAACCGTGCCGCAGTCAGGCCTCCAGGCCATCACGTCTGGCTCACACACCTGCCAAGTTACATCTTTTCCAGCCTTCTCAAAGCCAAGCCCCACTATTTGCTCCATGAACAGCAACATCTGGCAAATATGCATCCAGTTGGAAGGGATTGGCCACTTTGCATATGCACTAGGAACAGACTTTCATTTGCTCTTGATGTCTGCCCTCTATCCAGTACTGGAGAAGGCTGGAGACCAAACCCTGCTCATCAGCCAGGCAGCTACCAGCACCATGATGGACATTTGCCATGCCTGTGGCTACGACTCCCTGCAGCACCTGATCAATCAAAATTCAGACTATTTGGTGAATGGGATATCTTTAAATCTGCGTCATCTGTCTCTGCACCCCCATACCCCAAAGGTTTTGGAAGTCATGCTGCAGAATTCAGATGCTAGCCTACTTCCTTTGGTGGCTGATGTGGTTCAAGATGTCTTAGCCACCCTGGACCAATTTTATGATAAGAGAGCTACTTCTTTTGTCAGTGTTCTGCACGCCCTGCTGGCAGCATTAGGTACATTGAGAGCCCTTTTTAATGCTGAGTTGGGGGAAGAGCTAGTATCCTCATTTGCCTAACCTTATGTTTTCTTTGTGGTAATGCTATGGAAGACATTATTTGAATATTGTTTGAATTTGTCCAGTCCCATGGTAGGGTTCCATGGCCTTTTTATATATGTGTGTGTGTGAGCGCGCACGCGCCAGAGGTGCCAAAGAAATGTAAACACATTTTCAGAAATGTTATCTATGCTCAAACAGTAGTTCACCATAATCAGAAGTGTCTGGACGCTGACGGTCACCACTTTGAGCACCTCTTGTAAATGCAGAAGTCAAATGTGACTTGTATTCATCTTTTGTTATCGGTATATACTGAGTATTACAATTAATACAGTTTTTTCCTTTCTCGAAATGTGTATACATTTTTTGGCACCGTGTGTGTGTGTGTGTGTGTGTGTGTGTGTGTGTGTGTGTGTGTGTGTGTGTGTGTGTGTACCAGGGATGCCAAAAAATGTACCCATTTTAAGAAATGTTATCTATGTATTAGTTTTCGAAGTTGAATTGTGATAGCAATGTGTGGTATGACATTCACTCGAAAGTTGGCATTAATCAAATGAATGCTAGCATCATTCATTGTATTACAATTTTAATACAGGTTTTTTTCCTTTCTTAAAATGTGTATACATTTTTTTGGCACCGTGTGTGTGCGTGTGTGCGTGTGTGTGTGTGTGTATAACGTATATATACACACACACTTTATACACACACACACATATATACTTTTACTAATCTCTACCATCTATTGAGTTCCTGCTCCGTGCCAGGGACATAAACCCTGCAGACTAAATAGAAATATGATTTTTGTTTTACAAATAAGAAGAGCTAAGTAAGACTCAGGGAGATCCTACTTAGCCAGGGTCACACAATTAATAAGGAGTAAAGTCAGGATTTATGATTTTGTTCTTTTCAGCATACCAAACTGCTCCTGAGGATGCTGAAGAATTAGCAGTATCTATGCTAATGGAGAACACAAATAGCATGAATTATTCAGTCCACAGATAATTCCGGACAGTGCTGTCCAGTAGAGCTTTCTGTGATGATGGACATGCTCTGTGTCTGTTCTGCCCAATATAGTAGCAGCTAGCTACATGTGGCTAGTGCAGCTGAGGAACTGAATTTTTAATTTGAATTTAAATAATCACATGTAGCTAGTGACTGCCATACCTCACAGAGCAGGTCTGGAAACTTTCTTTTAACTGTTTAACTGTATAAGGTGGTTTGAGTTTCTCTCCTTCCCTTTGATGCTGTTGGCTGTCTATTGGAGGTGTTAGCCACCATTAAAATGGCAAAGTTTTAGACTGTAAGAAAAAGAATCCCTCAACTGGGTAGTCAGTCTTTGAATAAAAAAAATAATGAGCTGTATACCTGAGTCCCTTTTATCCAGAGAGCGTAGCTCCAGTACTTATTTCAGTACTGCTAAAAGCCTCCAAAATATTATAGGTAGGAAGGTCACTGACCTCACTTTGTCAGCTGAGAAAGCCAAGACCATGTAAGAAAGTTTCTCCCGGAAGGAGACTGGAACAAGGACAGTCCTTTGGCCTGTAGGTGCTACCATTTGCAGTTTCATTCATTCACTCATGAACATTCACGCGCCGCGTGAGTGTTCTTTTATTCATTCATTCAATAAGGAATGCCTGCCATGTGTCAGACACTGTTAATCAGGATACAGCACTGGACAAGACGAAGAAACTCATGGAGCTTTCCTGCGTAGTTTCAAGTTGGGGTCATAAGCGAGCAAACACATCATTAAGCTCATTTCAGATTCGAATAAGCACAGTGAAGAAAATAGATAACTTGATGCAAGAGAGGAACAGGGACAGGCTACTTTAAGTAGAGATATGCTCCTTGGATCACAGTAAGTCGTCAAGGAGGCCCTCTCTGAGGAGGCGACAATAGAACTGAGACCTGAAGGCTGAGAGGGGCCAATACAGAGCTGTCACATCCTTTGTGTATCTTTAAGAACTTTCAGAAAAAGGAAACAGCAGCTGCAAAGGCCTGGGGGGAGTAAAGGGCTTGTGGTCTTTGGAGAATGGAGAGAGGGCGTTGTGGAGAGCCTAATGGGAGATTCAGACACTAAACAGTATGCACAGAACAAGGTGAAATTAGAAAGGTGGGCATGGATAAATCCTGTAACCAAGGGAAGAAGCTTAGGTTTTCCTTTGCAACCACTCAGAAGCCTGTGTACTGACCTAGTCACTGGGACGTCAGCAGTGACCAGGAAGGACTGGTCCCTGCCCTCAGGGACCACTGCTAAGACTGGCTACCTAGAGTGACTTCCACGGTCCACATACACCCAGACTGCTACCTTTAGTGCTTTGGGGGACTAGACTACATGTTAATTTGAGATTTTTAAAATATATTAAGAAAAGGCCTATTAAATATACCCTCTCAGGAGGTATGTCAATTTGGGCCTTGAAAATGGAATTGCCTTGGATTGCTGGTGACTTTGGTCATCTTTCAAGGAGAAATCCTGTGTAGCACTGTTTTTAAAAAAAATGAAAGTGGAGGAGGAGGAGGAGGAGGGGGTCTCCATTGCAGAGAGGAAATGAAGGTGGGTAAGACTGACATGAGAGCATCCTAAGAAAAGAAGCAAAATTGGGGATAGCTTTTCGGAAAGTTTTGAGACAACCCAGAACACCCTTGCATCCGAATGGTAAGCAGCACCGAGGTGGAACTGACCAGGCACACACCAACTCCTGTAGCACCGGATGCTGGCATTTCTGTTTGGTCATCGAATTGTCTAACTGATGGTCACTGTTTTAAGATGGGAGTGGCAGTGTGATTTCAGGGAACTTCCGAAAGGCCTTAAAAGAACCCAGTAGTGTTTTAGGAAAGTGAGTTACCATAAACACAGTGTTTCATGCGCATTGACTAAAAAGCATTAGGTACCACAGTGAGGGCAAGAGCCATCCGTTAAATTGCTCCTAACCACCCACCACGGGTTGGCTGACCGTCCATCCCAACAAAACAATAAGGTAGCTTTGAAAGTAAGAAAGCGTCCATGCCACATATGTCAGCACTTGGAGATTGCGCCCCATCTGTACATGCAGAGCTGTCACACTGTTTTGATGGCTGCATAGTATTTTACTTTGTAGCTGCACCAATTTTTATTGACGCACTCCTTTCTTAGTGGGCATTTCAGTTGTTTTCAGTCTTTTGCCACCACAAAAATTGCTGCAGTGAATATCTTTATAGGTCATTTTGAACATGTCTCAGTCTATCGATAGGGCCAATTCGTAAGACAAATGCTGGCTTAGAGGGTATGACATTTAAATTTTTGATGGAGAGAGTCAAATTGCTCTCCAGAGAGTTCACACCCATTTAAACTCCCATCAGCAGTGAGAGAGAGTGCCAGCTTGGCCACGCCCTCCCCCACACTGTGTATCACCCAGCGTTTGGATCTTTGTTAATCTAATAGGAGAAACATAGCACCTTATTATAGTTTAATTTGCACTAGAGCAAGGTTGAGCTTCATTTCATGTGTTTAAAAGCCATTTGTGAGCAAAGGCTTTTTAATGTCTGGCACTAGCCTGAAGTCTAGAAAATAATCTTCGTAGCCTGTCTGCTTTTAGCTGTGTAAGTGCTGAATCTTGACTTTGACTCATTGGGAATGCAATCCCTGAGCGTACACAAAGGGCCTGATTTACGTCTGGGAATGAGGCATTAAAGAAGCGTCATCATTGACCCCTCCACGTAGGAACCTCCAGATAGTGGATCGAAGGCTCTCATCTCCAGCAGTTTCTCCCTGCTGCTCCCTGTCGCCAGACCTGGCAGCTCCCACCTGGCTCTGAGCAGATGCTCCTTGATGGGAAGATTAGCAGGTGCTAAAGGTTATCAGGCACTTTTTCCCTGCTGTCTGCAAAGGGAGGGTGAAAAGTCAGGTTTTCTTCTTGTTCTTTCATTTTTTTTATTAAGTACTAAGAGCCTTTTTGAAATGAAGCCTTAGGGGGACCCCTAATATACAAAAATAGTTGAAATTAGAACTGCTCTGGTTAAAGAAGGGGCAGAAACCCTGAACCCACCCCCTTTAGCCTGCTGTCTCTTAGCCTCCCCGTTGTGACCGCAAGGCATTTCTGTAGAACTAGCGCTTCTTGAGGTCCAATTTGAAAACCACTGGTTCAGTGATATTTAAGCCTTCTTCTGTGACGGACGACACATCAGAAGTGTTGGCGCCTCACTGAAGAAGGAAAAGCTTTGGAGAGGAAATGGCAGCCTTCTGAACCATTGTATGTCCAATACATACGTGAGACTGTGTCCATTCTCAAGGCTCCAGAGAGCCTGTCTCCTGCTAATGAGTCACGTATCCTGCACTGAGAATCTTGTCACCTCTGTGTGTTCTCCAGTCTAATGTATTTATTCTTTCAGCATATATTTAGAGTACCCACTCTGCGCTGGGCATATTGGATCCATGGGGCGTAGAGCCTAATGGGAGATTCAGACACTAAACAGTATGCACAGAACAAAATATAGTTACAAATTGTGATGTGTTGATATGAAAGGAAAGAACATGCTGCTATATAAGACAGCATATAAGGGACCTAAGTTAGATTGGGGAGTCAGGGGATGGCTTTACTGGGCAAGTTATATTTGTATTGGAATTTGCCAGATGTGACTTGGGGGGGCGGGGGCGGGAAGCATTCCAGATACTGAGAACAGGGTATGCAAAAGTCCTAAGGCAGGAAAACACGTGGTGCATTGGAGGACTGGAAGATGGTCAGTTAACGGGTAACTGGGAGTGGTCAGAAGAAGAGTTTGGAGAGGTGGGTAGGGAGTAGATCATACAGGGGCACCGTGCAGGCCACACACAGCAAGGAACTTATTCTACTTATAAAGTATGAGTACCTATTGTCACTGACCAAGGTGATCACTGCAACACTTCACTTGCAGCCCAGTGGTTCCCAAGCACAGGTGATCTTGGGCAACCCCAAGAGCAAAGTGTAGAGGAGAAGGGAAGTCACTTGAGCCAAAGACCAGCTCCTGAGAAAGGCCTTGAGAAGTCCACCACAGCCGAAGACATCGAACAGTTTTTGCTGAACTACCTCAAAGAAAAGGATGTGGCAGATGGGAATGTCTCCGATTCCGATAATGAGGAAGGTAACTATTACTTATTTTGGCTTAGCGGGGTTTTTTTGTTTGTTTGTTTTGAAGCAGATTGTTGTAAAAAATGATGAAACATCATTATAGAAAGTTTGGAAATAAGAAAAGTCACTCATAACCCCACCATGCTAACATGGGCATTCTCCCTTTTGGGGTAATCCCTTTCCATTCTTTTTTCGTTGTTGCAAACCCAATTTTATGTGGTTGCAGCCTCGACTTAAATGCATTATGCTCTTTCTGCGTTTAGTTCTATAACAAGGATCTCTCCATGTTGCTATAGCGTTTTTCATAATTAATGTTTTAATAGCTGCTACTAAGTATCCATTCCCCTGTGGGAAGTTAGGTTGCTTCTGGCTTTTCACTCTAATAAACAGTGCTGCGGCGGATGGTTCTGTGCACGTGACCTTTTCCTCCTTTTTGCTTATTCCTTTATAAATCCCAGAAGTGGGATTTGTGGGTCGAGGATATGAACATTATTTTATGCTTGCCAAATTGCCTTCCACAAAGCCTTCCCATCAGCAGTATAGGACTCATACTTCTCATCAGCAGTATAGGACTCAAAC